ATTCAGAGAACCTATGCTGACTCTGTTGGCAGTTTCCTAAGCTGTGTTTCCACGCGCTGCCCTCCTCTCCCACCACCTGTGCTGAGATTGTTCCATATGGGCCAGGGACAGCTGTGCCTTCCGAGGTACCAGTCACAGCCCAGGGCAGGCCTCACAGTCCCTGGACAGGGTCTCAGCCCTCACTCGGAGCCACTGCTGTGGACACGCTCAGCCACGAACTTACCACCAGCCAGTGCCCACGGCCCCAGGCCCTGGGAGGGACATCCCCCATCTCCCTGGACCTCTCTGTAGTGTTTGGCTCAGTGGGCTCACCTTCCTCAAAGCTCCAGGAGCAGGAAGGGTGGGGGACCCAGGAGGCCTCCTCCTTCCTGCCTTAGGAACCAGGCTGTGGTGGGGGCCCAGATCCCCCCACCAGATTGAAGCAGTGACCAACCTCCCACCCCAGGACCCTTCTCCAGTCCCCTACCTGCCCCTTGGCAGGTGAGAATGTACTGGACCACCCAGAGCGCTCCCTCCAGCCTGTCGGTCTCAGCTCCCACTGGGGAAAAGATGGGGAAACTGAGGCCTGGGGAGAAATAACCAATTGTTCCTGGTCTTGCAGTAAGTTTGCATAGAAGTCAGACTTTCTCGGGTCTTTTCTCTTTGGTCATCCTCACTGCCACCAAACCCTTCCCTTCATACTTACTGCACAAGGTGACTAGGTAGAGAAGGTATATTAATTAAGGGTTAGCAGACCCACATGGGTGTGACCTTTTCTCAGTCTCTCAGCCTGGTACTTTTCTCTTTTGCCAAACAGAAGAAATAATTAGATTGAGAAAGAATAAAAGAGTAGCCTGTGGGTGGTTGCAGAGTTATTTTGGCTCAAGTTAAAAAAAAAAAAGCAAAGAAAAGGAATTAGATGTTAGATGGGTCAGTTATTGTTCAGTCGCTCAGTCGTGGCCAGCTCTTTGCAACCCCATGGACTGCATCACACCAGCCTTCCCTGTCCTTCACCATCTCTCGGAGCTTGCTCAAGCTCACGTCCATTGAGTCGGTGATGCCATCCAATGGTCTCATCCTCTGTTGTCCCCTTACCCTCCTGCCTTCAATCTTTCCCAGCATCAGGGTCTTTTCTAAAGAGTCAGCTCTTCTCATCAGGTGGCAAAGTATTGGAGTTTTTGCTTCAGCATCAGTCCTTCCAATGAATATTCAGGGCTGATTTCCTTTAGGATTGACTGCTTTGATCTCCTTGCAATCCAAGGGTCTCTCAAGAGTCTTCTCCAACACCACAGTTCAAAAGCATCAATTCTTCGACGCTTAGCCTTCTTTATGGTCTAGCTCTCACATCCATATGTGACTACTGGAAAAACCATAGCTTTGACTAGACAGACCTTTGTCAGCAAAGTAACATCTCCGCTTTTTAATATGCTGTCTAGGTTGGTCATAGCTTTTCTTTGGACAGAGAGATGTTAGTTTGGTGATTCTCTTGCCAGTGATCCTCAAACTCTAGCGCCCTAGCAAATGACCCAAAAGGGACAAAAGAGGTTTATTCCCTAGAGGCTCATTTAGAGCTGATGCGTTTGGGGCTGTGAGGAACTGCTGTCTCCTGGAAGTCCTCACCTGTCCCACCATAAAGAAAGTGGCACTGCAAGCATGAGAACGCAGGATCCCTTCCTGCCTCCTCCCCCTGCTCAGCTCCACTCCCTTTTGATTCAGAAGTGACTGCAGAAGATGGAATAATTCCTACCTCGAGGTTCTCTGAATTGTTCCTCCCTCTGGGATCACCACTGGTACGTCCCTGCTTTCGTGGGGGTGCCTGGCAGAGCAGAGAGGCCACCTCCATACTCACTGTTCCTAGCTGCAGCAGTGGGCAGGAAGTCTCAAAGCCCGGCCAGCTAGTCCTGAAAGCAGCGGCCTGGGACATGTGGTGCCCCCTGCAGGCCTTGGCAAGAATGGCAGTACCTGTGAGGTGGTAGTAGTAGTGTGGTCCTTCCATCTGAACTCTAGCCCGCCAGGCTCCCCCATCCGTGGGATTCTCCAGGCAAGAACACTGGAGAGGGTAGCCATTCCCTTCTCCAGGGGATCTTCCTGGCCCAGAGATCAAACCTGGGTCTCCTGCATTGTAGGCAGAATCTATGAGGAGATGGACTGCCAGTTAGCCACGGGCTCAGCCTGTCCCCATCAGGGAGACCCCATCACTTCCATTTCTTGATGCTCCCAGAATATTTTTAAAAAATAATAATAAGGAAACAGGGCTACTGAGTTATAGTACGTTTTCTAATGTTTACTTGGAACAGAGTAAGGCGTTTCACACCCATGCAGCAGTGTGACTGCGCTATTCACAAGATAACAGAACTTTAAAACAACAAGGAAACAAACCATAGCTAGAAGTGGGGCCGGTTTAGAGCTGTTTGATGAGCATGTCGTTTTTGACCCCGCCTGTGTTTTCCTGGACTGGATGTGAGCCTCATTTGGGAGAAGGTCAGACTTGGGAGGTGGTATCGACAGCCCTCCCAGCACTGGATCTGGCCCTGGGGTCTCCCCAGGGAGCTCCCCAAACAGCTCTTCGGGGTCTGTCTCTCAAGGTGGCTGGCAGTGGGGAGTGGGTGCCTGGATCACCCCAGTGGGGCAGAGAGACCGCTGTGGTCAAGGTCTGCGCTTGGTCCCTGTGGGGGTCAGTTAGCAGCAGCCTGCATGCCGCCCCCTGCTGGTCATCACAGAAAAGGGTGACGACCATCTGGGGCAACAGCTCTCAAACCGCAGTCCAGTGATTTCGGGGGGTTCCCAGTGCCTTTCAGGGGGTCCGCAAGGTCAAAAATACTTTCTTCATCATCATCACAATATACTTGGTCAAATTCTCTCAAATATGCAGATGAAAAGTTCATTGACCTGATTTCAAACACCACATTGGAACTAATCTTTAAAGATAACTGTCATCTGTTGAGTTTGGGTGCAGAATGAAAGAACATCCACAGTTATCTAGGAAGGCTAAATACACTCCACCTTGTTCCAACTATAGGATGTATCTGTGAGAATCTGGATGTCCTTCATGTACTTTAGCAAAAGTGCGTATCACAAAACATTGAAATGTCAGACATGAAACTGTCCTTTGTTAAGCCACACATTACATAGATTTGTTAAAATGCAAAACAATCCCATTATTCTCACTAATTGCTTTTGTTTTGAAAATACAGTTTTTAAATATGTGAGCACCTCATGGCTTTATTATTTTTCGATGACTTGACAATTTAAATTTTTTCTCAGTGTTCATTTTTAATCTGGTAAATAGCAATAAATATAGCCCATATCATTTGGAGTTCTCAAGAATTTTTTTATCAGTTTAGTGAGATGTAGTTCACATACCGTAAATTTCAGACATTTAAATAATACAAGATAGTGGTTTTAGTGAATTCACAAAGCTGTGCGAGCATCCTGCATGCCTGCAAGCATCCATGCATGCATGGACACTTCAGTCGTGTCCTACTCCTTGTGACCCCGTGGACTGTAGCCCACCAGGCTCCTCTGTCCATGGGATTCTCCAGGCAAGTATACTAGAGTTGGTTGCCATACCCTCCTCCAGGGGATCTTCCTGACCCAGGGGTTGAACCTGCATCTCTGAATGTCTCCTGCGTTGGCAGGCAAGATCTTAACCTCTGCAGCCACTTGGGAAGCCCATACAGCCATCACCGCTAATTCCAGAACATTTCCATCATCCGAAAAAGGACCCTGAGCCCATTAGCAGTCACTCCCATTCCTCCCTCCCCACCACCCCCAGCCCCTGGCAACCACTAGTCTACCTTCTGTCTTTATGGATTGGCCTGTTCTGGACATTTCACATAAATAGAACCATATGATATGTGGTCTTTTGTAACTGGCTCCTTTGACTTAGCATGTTTTCAAGGTTCATCTGTGTTGTAGCCTGTGTCAGTTCTCTGGTCCCTTTAATGGCCAAACATTCCATTATACAGACATGCCACGTTTTATCCATCCATCAGTTGATGGACATTTGAATTGCTGTGAATATTCATGTAAAAGTTTGTGTATGGACATACGTTTTCTGTGCTCTTGAATTTGTACCCCAAAGCCCTTTCTGGGTCATATGGTAATAACTGTATGTAACACTTAAAGAACTGCCGGACTAATTTTCAAGAGTGTAAAGGAATCCTGTGTTTGAGAACCTCTGGTCTGGAGGGAATGAGACCAGGGGAGTGTGGAGAACTCAGTACTGCCCCTCATCTTTGCTTTGGAATTAGGATTCCCTCAAACTCAGCTCTCTCTCTCTTCCCCTCCTTACTATCTCCCCAACACATATCCTTTTTAAAAATTATTTATTTATTAGGCTGAGCCGGGTCTTAGGTGGGGCATGTGGGATCTTCAGTCTTCCTTTTGGCCTGTGAGATCTTCAGTGGAGGCATGTAGGGCCAGGGATCGAACCCAGGCCCCCTGCATTGGGAGCACAGTCTTAGCCACTGAACCATCAGGGAAGTCCCCCCACAACACATATCCTTGGTGGTAAGGAGAAAGCCAGCTCAGCTCAACTGCACAAATGAAACCACCAGCACGCTCTGGAGCATGGCCCCCTCCCTTCAGGATTTCTGAGGGGCCATGTTCATTGTGGTCCCAGGGCAGTAAAGCAGGGGTGGTACCTGGAGGGTGCAAACGCCCTCGAGGTTTGCCTGCCAAGTTGAAAACCTCAGTTGTGTGCCTCTTCTTTCCTTTCTGATTCTGTCCCTTTGATGTCCTGTCGGTCAAGTCCAACCTTGTCACTTAGCTGCATGAGCCACCTAGCTACCCCCCACCCCAGAGTCAGGAGTCTTTGAAAGAGGAACCTTGAGGAATTAGCATTTAATTGGAGGGGTGATTCTGCTGGTGAGAGTCCAAACATCACTGGAGACGGGGAAGGGGCAGCAGCAGAGGGGGATAGGTTGGAAGTACCCGTGTTTGGTGTCTGAGGGACCCCATCTGCCATGTGCACCCCAGCCAATGACGTGCTCTTTCTTTTTCCCTCTTTCTTATCTCAGATGTGACTCCCCACCCTGGCTGGCCACTCTAAACCATGGCCGACACCATCTTCGGCAGTGGCTGTGATCAGTGGGTTTGCCCCAATGACCGGCAGCTTGCCCTGCGAGCCAAGTAAGTACTTCTCAGGCTTGGCCGGGCCCTCCCTTCCCTGCTCTTCCCAACTCCCCTCCTTTCTTTGACAAGATTCAGTGCCCGGGCTTCATAAGGAGCAATTTGAAGACAAGTGCCCGTCTTAGTGCAGCAGTAAGGAATCTGCCTGCAGTAGAGGAGACCTGGGTTCAAACCCTGAGTCAAGAAGCTCCCCTGGAGAAGGAAATGGCAACCCACACCAGCACTCTTGCCTGGGAAATCCTATGGACAGAGGAGCCTGGTGGACTATAGTCCAGGGATTGCCAAGAGTCAGATATGACTGAGCAACTAAACAACAAACAAAAAACTCCTGTCTAATGTACACCACACTCCTGGCCTTGAGCTGGGCACCATTCACTCATTCCATCATATGGAACGGATTCCCACTTCTCAGATGAGGACATGAGACTGAGGGCCTCACTGGCATCGCCTACCTTGTGAGTGGCAGGGCTGGGGCTCCCCCGGGTCCTCCTGACTCTCGTGCCTGTGTTCTTTGGACCACAGTAGACTTCAGGGAGCCAGACCATTTCCTTTGCCTTCTCTGTGAACAGTAGAAATCCCCTGTCACTGAGCTTCAGACCCTGAGTCCCAGGCAGCGGGGAGCCTTTGATCTCCGGATGCCCGCTTCATAGTTGAGCACCTGGCCCCAGCAGACAGGACAGACCAGAGAAACGCTTGTCAAATTTATGAAGAGCTGCCCTCTAGACTGAAGCACACAGCCAGCCGCGAAGCATCCCAGCTCTCGGCCCTGCCTAGGTCAGGGTTTCTCTGCCCGTGGTTTGCCCTGTTTTCCTGTTACCTCTCAACCTGGTGACCCCCTCGGCTGCACTTAAATCATCCTGTCTCCCCACACTGTCCCCACTGCCCCATGGCTGGAGACCAGGGGCCCCCAGATGCCTCTTCGGCCTTCCAGTCTCCTCCTGTCCCTCCAGAGGAGTCGGAGGTCCCAGGGATCAGATAAACCCAAGAATGCTGCTCCATCTGTCAAATCCATGCCGAATACAGGAGCCTGCATTTCCCCAACTGGGACCAAGTTCAAGACATTTGCAATTAGATATTGTGAGCCTGCAGGGGACAGAGCTGAAACATCAAAGGATAGAAAAATTAATCCAGAATGCCCAAGACGAGTGGAGTCCTGCGTGATTTGCAGGACTCTTTGCACCACAGTTAATTTGTCCCTCTCACCAGGGTGGCTCAGCTCTTTTAGCCCCCACGTGGCCCCTGCAGTGGAGAGACCAGGGATGAAACCATCCTCTCTTCTTCTCTCTTCTAACACCTGGCGAGATGATGTGTCCTCCACGGCTGGATGTGAGGAGCTGGGGAGAGCCGCGCTCTTGTAGGAGGGGCCGGCATGACTCCTGGTGATCCTGCCAGCCTCCCCTTCAGTTCTCCCTGACCTTGTCTTGCGCTCAGCAGCAGCCAGAAGCTGTCATGGCACCTTTTAGAAGAGCAAATGCTTTCATCTCTCTCCAGGGTGTGCTGCCTTGTAATGCCAGGCTCCTTGTAATGCTGGGCTCCTTAAAGGATAGTGTTACAAACCCCCGCAGCCAGGTACTGTGTCTCTGGGAGGCTGAGGGAAGTTATCTTCTTTGGCTCCAGCTTAGGATCTGTTCTCCCAGCTGCCATCACACATTTTCTAAACCCCTACTATGTGCCAGGACTATTGGACTGCAGTGAACAAGACCAATAGGGTCCCTTGTCTTCAGGCACTAATGGGGAGCAGTGAGCATGATACACACAGTTACTCATGTGCAGCTGCTTTGTCGGTAGAAATAGGCAGTCAGGTGAAGCGTGGTGCTAATAATCTAGGGTTTGGGGGAGGTCTCCCTGAAAGTGTGATGCTTATGTTGAATCCTGGAGGAGGGGTAAATACTGAAAATATGGGGGAAGCACATCTAGGCAGAAGGAACAGCAAGTGCAAAGGTCCTGAGGTAGAAGGAACATGGCCTGCAGAGACCTGGCAGGAGGTCAGGGTGGCTTGAATGCAGGGTGAGGGGCTGAATGGCATGCAAGGAAGATGGAGAGGTGGGCAGGGCGCAGCGCTCAGGACTCCCATTCTAAGGGGGAGACAGAAGGACCTACCTTGCCTTGTAATAATGTTTAAGCCTCATGTTGGAGCTGTGCCCAGGCCTTAGGGAACTCCGAGAATGCGCTCTCCTTAACCCATTTTGGAGGGGATCAAGGAAAAGCCTCCTATAAAGACCATGTCTAAAAGACGTCCTAAAAAAGAAAGGGAGTGAGCCAGTGGAAATGAGGCTTAGGGAGAGGGGCAGGCACCCCAGGAGGAGGGTACAGCTTGAGCAAAGGCCTGGAGACAGTGCACAGCCTGGAGCACAAGGGAGGCAGGAGCAGTTGGTGGTGAGGCCCTGTGCGAGGCCCACAGTCAGGGGGCGTGCTGATGGGCACTGGGCGCCGCCAAAGGTTCTTCCTCGGGATTTGCTGCTCTGGGTACATCTGGCAGCCCTGAGTCAGCCTCCTTTGTCTATGTGGAGGGGTGCTACAGTGGGGTGCCCTGGGGGAGCCTGGCATGGCTCTCGGCAGCTACCAGATATGAACTACCTAGGCCAGGAAGCCTTCTGACCTCGGACTTGCCTTTGCAAGGGCATCTAACTGCACCCTGCCGCTTCCCTGCTCTGAGAGATGGGGAGGCCTGCCTTGCAGGATGCCAGGGGTCGGGTGGGGAGATGGTCTACAGAGCCCTGGGCTGGGCCTCACCGCCGCTTCTCCTGAGCAGCTGTGACCCTCCTGCCCTGAGTCCCTCTAGTTTTCAAAACGCTGCATGAATCTCCTTTTATCCTCAGCATCTTTTTTTTAATTTATATGTAATTTTATTTGTCTGTTTTTATTTGTGGCTCTGCATGGTCTTGGTTGCCGTGTGGGCTTTTCTCTGGTTTTGGCGAGGAGAGGCCACTCTCTAGTTGTGGAGCACAGGCTTTTTCATTGCAGTGGCTTTTCTTGTTGCAGAGGACAGGCTCTCGAGCATGCGGGCTTCAGGAATTGCGGCTCCCGGGCTCTGGAGCACAGGCGCAGTAGTTGTGGCGTGCGGGCTTAGTCGCTCCACGGCAGGTGGGGTCTTCCCAGACCAGGATGGGGCCCATGTCTCCCGCGTTGACAGGCAGATTCTCTACCACTGAGCCACCACGGAAGCCCTCAGTGTATGTGTAACCCAGTCGATGACCTTTCCTGTCCATCTTGCTTTCTTACAAGACTCAGATCCAGGTGCTCAGTCTCCTCCTGATCGTCTTCCCTCGAAACCTCTTGTGCTGTGGCCTTTTGTACGTTCCATGCCCCGCCCCCTGCCAGATGCTAAGGGCGTGCTGCCGGCCTCGTGGGGCCCAGGAGCTGGTGGGTGGCCGAGGCAGCGTTTGGAGACTGGCGGGCGCCCGACACGCAGACTGTGCTCGGGCCTTGGTGGGTGCGGTGGGGGCGCTGGTTTGCACCGGGGCTGGACTTGTGGGCTATGCTCTCTCCAGGCTGCACACTGGCTGGTCCGTGCACACCTACCAGACAGAGAAGCAGAGGAAGAGCCAGAGCCTCAGCCCGGCCGAGGTGGAGGCCATCCTGCAGGTCATCCAGAGGGCCGAGCGCCTCGACATCCTGGAGCAGCAGAGGGTCGGGTAAGGGCTGCTCCTGAGAGGGGGCACAGGTGGGGCCTGGAGAGGGAGGCAGGGCAGTCAGTGCCAGCTCGGCGGGCTGGGAGTCTGGCACGCTGGGTCCTCATGCCGGCTTGTCACTGGGAATGAGTCAACTCGGCCTGAACACCCCGGGACTGTAGTAGATTCATAACCCAGCCTGTCCAAGCCTCAGTATACCCCTCTGTAGGATGGGGATGGCAGCCTGGGCCCCAGGCTATGGGGAGGATGAGTGAGTGCAGCAAGATACACTAGGGTCTATTCAGCTCTGCGCATCGGAGGGTCACTGTGGTTCAGCCAGGGCAAGGATTTAGCAGAGGCTGAACCGTGGGTTCTCCCATCAGAGACCATTAGGAGCCGCTATCCAGCTTGTCTAAGCTCTCTTGGCCTCCGGCATCCGGAGGCAACTCCTACACAGCCTTCAGTCTTTGTTGTGTCTTTTTATTTGTTTAATTGCAAAAGCAATTCATATTTCCTAGACAGTCTGAAAAACACAGGCCGGCGCAAACTGGAAGACATAAATGCAGGGCACTGACAGGAATTAATTTGATTCTGGTCTCCTTGTTCTTTTCCTCTTTATCTTCTTCTATGAAATATACGATCATTTTGAAAAATCAGACATTGTAGAAATGCAGAGTTCTAGAAAGTGAAAGCGCCAGCGCAGAGACTACTGCTGCCCAGTTTATCGTGTGTGCCTCGCTTAATACAGACATATTACTACTGTTTCATTACAGAAAGGGTCTGTAGCAGATGCCTGGTGCTCTTTCCCCCCTCCACCCCTGGCTGGGGCCCCACCGCCTCTCAGACCTAGCCCGAGGGTCCTGCAAGGCTCGGAATGGTGTCTCAGAGGTGCGGGTGCTGATGACTGACAGGCCAGCGTCGCATCCTTTGGGCTCCCCCAGGAGGGCGTGCGGGAGCCGGTGGGGGGTGTTTCCCGTGGGCTCCCCTAAGCTGCGAGAAGCATTTGCACCCCACCTCCCCACCCTCATCCATCTGGACTGTCTTCCCCGTGCTGCTCACGTTGTCTGGCTGTGTCGTAAGCACTGGGTTTGGCTGGGGCAGGAGTGACCCAGGAGGCAGGAAATCATCTCAGAGAGAGGAGATGTGTCCTGTGTGTTTCCATGAGTGGGAGTCACAGGGCTGCACTGGTCCGGGGTGCCCCGAGAACAAGCAGGTCAGGCCAGGGTTGAAGCTGAGTTTATTCCTAGGACCCTGTAGGTCCCTGGAGGAGGGACGGTTACCACTGTGGAAGTCAGGAGTGTCTGCTGAGGGCGTGGGGGCAGAAGCAGCCTCAGTGTCCACTCTGCCCTCTCTTGGCCCCCAGACAGGGCTTGATCACCCCAGGGGAGAGAGTGGAGTTGCCATGAGATGGGGGGCCTGGGTGTGGCCTCAGCTCTACTTCTGAGGAGGTGTGCCATCCTGGCAAGTGACATCACACCTCGGAGCCTCAGTCTTCTCATCTTTAAAATGGGGGGGGGGAGGGACAGCATCCTCCTTGATGGAGGATTGTGAGGGTTACAGGAGACAGTATACCCACACACCACCCTCCATGTGTTTAAGAATTTTCACTGAGGGAATTCCCTGGTGGTCCCTGCTTAAGACTCTGAGTTTCCACTGCAGGAGGCCAGGGTTTGATCCCTGGTCGGGGAACTAAGATCCTGCATGAAGCAGCCAAAAAAAATAATAATTTTTGCTGAGAATCCACTGGACACTGGAGATACAGCGGCCAATGGAAAAGAAGTGGCCACATATTGTGGGCGTGACAGTATTGTATGACAGGTTGTCACAAAACAGGGGTCACAGTCGGCTGAGGGGCTGTGTAATCTGGACCGTCCTGGCCCCCTCCCGCCTCCTTTGTCCCAGGCAGTATAGTGCCCCCACCCCACCCCAGCCGCCTTACTGCTCCAGCGCTCCAGGGCTTTGCTCTTGAATTCCCTGCCCCTCTGTCTGGGATGCTCCACCTGCTCTTCACACATTTGGTCCTTGTCGTCCTTCCCCTCCTTCCCCTCTCAGTTCACATGTCCTCAGAGAGGCCTTCACTGACCACCATCCAACATGTCCTGCCCCCTCCCACCCCGGCTTATTCTATTTCATAACCCCTCCCCCTCTCTGAGGTCCCTTTGCTTGTTTTTTATATTTTCTTATTTATTTGGCTGTGCCAGGTCTTCGTTGCGGCATGTGGGCTCTAGTTTCCTGACCAGGGGTCGAACCCAGGCCCCCTACATGGGGGAGTGAGAAGTCTTAGCCAGTGGACTGCCAGGGAAGTCTTTCACTTTGCTTGTTTATAGACTCTCTCATTATGAAGCATAAACTCCAGCAGAGACTGTGTCCCTCTCTGTCTTATTTGCTACAATATTCCTAGTGTCTGGCATACTGTAGGCACCCGGTTCAATGGTAGGTGAGTGAATGATTGATTAGGAATCAGCCAGGGGAAGGAGTGGGCAGGGAAAACACCAAAGGTGAGGGAATGGCCCTGGGATGTGGTATGGTGTGGGGGCCCCGAGGCTGCCGGGCCCGGACAGGCAGCGGTCAGGTTGGAGACGAAGCCCACACCATCTGACTCTGTGTCCTATGCCGCAGGCGGCTGGTGGAGCGGCTGGAGACCATGAGGCGCCACGTGATGGGGAACGGCCTCTCCCAGTGTCTGCTCTGCGGGGAGGTGCTGGGCTTCCTCGGCAGCTCCTCAGTGTTCTGCCAAGACTGCAGAAAGGTAAGGCCCTGCTCTGGCTTGCCCTGCTGCTTTGTGGCTTTGCGTCCTGACTCCCAGGAGAGTGTGTATGTGTTTGTGCATACGTGTGTGCGGGCCTTCCTGGTGCTCAGCAGTAAAGAACCCGCCTGCCCATGCAGGAGACGCAGGTTCAATCCCTGGGTCAGGAAGATCCCCTGGAGAAGGAGATGGCCACCCACTCCAGTGTTCTTGCCTGGGAAGTCCCATGGACAGGGTGCCTGGCAGACTGCAGTCCATGGGGTCGCAGAGAGTCAGACTTGACTTAGCAACTAAACAATAGATGTGTGCACACATGGTATCCTACACTTCATGGCAAGAAGGAGTGGGGCCTGAAGGTCAAATGGCTAGGCTTCTAGTGCCAGCTCTGGGGAGTAGTGTATGAATTCAGCTCTTCTAGTAGCTGTGTGACTGCAGAAAGCTTATTTACTATGTCAAGCCTCACTTACACAATAGGGACAATGATAATATATACCTTAGAGAGTTGTGAGGATTAGATAATATATGCAAAGTTTTTAAAACCTTGTTTGGCACATAAGTACTCAGTAAATGTTATTAGTTGTTTTAAATAAGTGCAGTTTTCCTCGGGGCCAAACAGTTTGCTAAGATTACGCTTCCTATCCTGTTGGTCGGCTCTCTTGATCCCTGGCAACTCAAATGAGTAGCAAGGCCAAGTGGATTTTCTCCTTTTCTTGTACTCCACTGATTGTTCTAAATTATGCCATATATAAAATTGTTTCCTATTGAATACAAGATTTCTTGAAATAACTTTTTAAAAATGTTATGTGTTTATTTTTAGTTGTGCCGGGTCTTCGTTGCTACGCTGGCTTTCTTTAGTTGTGGCAAGCAGGGGCTGCTGTCCAGTTGTGGCTCCTCTTTGTGGTGGCTTCTCTTGCTGTGGAGTAGGGGCTCTAGGGCGCTGGAGCTTCAGTAGTTGTGGCTCGTGGGCTCAGCAGTTGCGGCTTCCCAGCTCTAGAGCACAGGCTCAGTAGTTGTGGTGTATGGGTTTAGTTGTTCTGTAACAGGTGGGATCTTCCCAACCAGGGATAGAACAAGAGTCTCCTGCATTGGCAGGCAGATTCTTTACCACTGAGCCGCCAGGGAAGCACCTTAACATAACTTTATGTTTTTCCTGGCATTTCTAATTGCCTTT